AACGTTGCGGCGGCAGACATCATCTCACTGTTGTGGTGTCCAATACCTTTAGTGATTGGCCTTTCTGGCATACACGTTTCTGGAAAAACAGCGGACTACATTTGCAAATTTTTTACTGGATACTCGGTGACCTGTCTTACTGTTACGGTGACGTACCTAAGTTTGGTGGTTTTAGCGGTGGAGAGGTTTCATGCCATCGTCAAACCCTTTCACTCCACACTGACGTTCACGAACAACTATATGCGTTATGTTATCGGTTTGATCTGGATAACCGCAGTGGTACTTTCCTTGCCCGGGTTCCTTCTTAGCGAATACGATGAAAAGTTGGGAAGATGCCTGGATCCTTGGACTCTTGAGAAAGCAGGTTCACTCAAATGGCTTTATGTTATGTCATTGGTTGCGTCTCTCTCTTTCTCGGGTTGTTTGCTTTATTGCTATTTTCAGATACTGAAAGGAATATTCATTAACAGAACCGTTTGTTCAGCTGAAGCTGTATCTTCAAGGCAGTCGAATGCAAAGGAAAAGCGAAAACTGGCTTTAATTTCTTTTACTGTCACAGTTGCTTACCATTTGTGTTATCTGCCATTTTTGGTGTTTGAGCTCTACATAGCTTTTCAACCTTATCAGGCAATTTTGGACAACTACGAAGATTTGTACAAAGTTTATCGAGTCGTTGGGTTTGTTATGTACGTAAATTCATGTTTGAATCCGTTTTTTTATGGCTTTCAGAGCTCAAATTACCGAAAGAACTTTGTACGACTCTTTACTAGAAAAACAAAGTTAGATAACAACAGAATCTCGTCCAGGTAAAGCATTACCCTAAGGATGTTGTTTCTTCTCAAAAAAAGGAAAACAAGGCAATTTTATAGCACTGTGAACATCACTATTATGAAGTTCAAGTTAATTAAGGATTTCAATTTATAATTGATGTGTTTTAATATTTTTACCATGTCGCGGTTTGTGAAGCGTCATAAAGGAACTGTTAAATTAGTTCATTTCTCAGAACCTTTAGCACTGTCATATTTTCGGTAACTTTGTACTAAGTAGCTCAGATAAAGGTTTCCGTTTTTTTTCGTTTTTTCTTTCTTTCTTTCTTTTTTTTTTTTTGCTAAAGCGAATACATTTATAGAAAAACAATTTTCAGTAGCGTAGGGGAGAAAGTTGTAAATATATTTTTCTGCGTAACTGTTTATTCACTGTTCGCTGATTAAATGCAAATTTACGTTCTCTAATCTTATAAATTTTCTTTTTAAATGGATTCACAAATGTGTATGCTAAAGTTCAAACAACAGAAATTAACCTGGGCAAACGCATAACATATATTTTTCGTTTTAAAGAAAGATTTTTGAAATGAAAAATGAAGATGGATTCAGCTTTGCAATCAATAGATGTGCATGCAATTATAGGCCCGGAAACATTAAATGAAAATGCCAATTCACGGAGGCTCTGATCACGTTTTTTCTAATAAAGGCTAATTGAAGCCATTCCGCAATTAACTTGACTTTTCTGTGGTCGTAGCTTTTTATTCCTGTATTTATTAAGCGCGACTCATTAATAACTTAGTTCAGTACCGTTTCTCCACGGAAAGAATCGTGTCTTACTAGCGAGCGACGTAACATTTTCATGTTCACCATCATGAAACACTGCTACCCAATTTTTAGCCCACTAGAATGTTTTTTTTTTTTTTTTTTCAAACAAAAGATTTTCAACTGATAAAATGAAGAGGTTGTAAAAAGACCGAAGGAACATCTGGCGAAACGGAAACAATTCATCACCCCTGAGGTATAACTCGAAATTTTCGGTCAGCATGCCATCCGGCTCTTAAAGCCAAATTTTCATAAGTGAACAAGGCAGTTAAGCCTCGTCTACACAAGCAATTTTCATGTTACAAATATATTCAGTTTGATCGTGAAGATGGCATAGCAAGTATTTTGTAGCAGTTCAAAGTCTAGTGCGCCAGTAATGACTTGTTCTCACAAGAGATACGCAGAATCAAGGCGAGGCTGCGTGGTCGCCCCCCAAAAATATGGCGCTTACGTACATTATTGCCACATTTTATATGAGTAATAAAAGTAATTGTTCGAGTAATTTTTTGAGTAATTTTTCTTATATGACAACTTGCAATAGAGCAATCTTAAAATTTATTTCACTGAACCGCATGAAGCCCAAGCTGAAGCAAATGGTGTTCGTTACGGCCGCTGAGAATTTAAAACGCTCATTATACTTAAAACATTTATGAGACATGAAGGACAGCAAAATTTTTACCTCAGTCCGCCCCCTTTGACGGAAGGGAGAAAATGCACCCGACTTCTTTTGTTGTTGTGTTACTAAATTTGTTTTTTACTTATATTCGCTGAGAAACGACTATACAAAATTTTCGCTGGATGTATTTATAGTCAAGATATTTCGAGATATAAGTGAAGAGAAACTTGTGATGGTTTCTGTTTTAGGGCAGGGTTGGAAAATACCATCAACGAATAAAGAGCTGAACACGCATACAATAGAGTGATTTTAAGCTCGATAGAATTACCAGGTTAGCGTTTTGAACGCGTGAACTCGATATTTTTATAAGCTTTATTACTAAAAAGATAACTTCGGCCAACTGAAAAAACCGTAGTTTTAACCAAGTTTTACAACTCTCTAATGTCAGTAAACGTTTCTTTTAGGTAACTCTTTTATATATATGTAAAAAAACAAACAAAACAAAACAGCGGGCTCTAACAACAAAGCCCTCGATTCATAAGAAGTTGCTAAATCCAAGCTGTCATAAACAGCACCAGTAGTCCAGCCTGGATCATGATCAGACAAAGTGTGGATGGTGAAGAAAACGAAGCCGCTTTTCCTCCATAAGCTTTTTCCCATGAGCGAGTCATCCCAGCGTTGCAGAAATCCTCGTCTTTACAACATTTTGTCTCGCACCACGAGCTTTCCAATTGCCTCTCAAAAGTCTCTCTGCACTTCTCTTCTGGACACCAGTCTGGGTTGTAACAAGCCTTAATGAATTGATGCTCTTGCTGTCCATTCCGTTTGAACATTCGGTGAGACATATAACAGACTTTTGGAGGTTTGCACTCGTTTGTCTTGATAGCGTGTTTGTTGCAGTCCTTCCACGACAAGTTAGAAAAGCACTGAAGACAACGAAGACATGATGAATCTAAAAATATAAACAAGTTACAGGACTAATTCGGAGCGGATTCAATTCGTAATGATGCCATAATGTGTTTATTTTAAAATATCGGCTGCTAAGCAACCAATTACAGAATTGATCGTTATTTTAAAACAAATTTATTTCCATTTGTTTTCCACTTAATCCCAGCATTCGTCGCCGTTTTGTTTCGGTAAAGATAAACATCTTGGGACTTGGGAAGGAGGTTGCACTTCTCCGCGGCCAAAAAAGAGTGTGCAGAACGACACAAAGCTCAAACCCTACAAACTAGAGATATCACTTTCCCTCACCGACAAAAATATCGTGTGTTTGCTAAGGATGGCTAGATAACGCGTAATCTATAACTCAAAATTTCAATCGCGTCGCCTTTCTTTCAAAACAAGTTATGCAAACCCTTGACTGCATCTCGGTTTTGAATAATTGTCTAGAATTTTCCCAGCGCCCTCGTGAGGGCGAGATGAGGTGATGTAAACACGGAAGAGGTCCTCTATAGCTTTTTAAAAATATACAACGTTTTGCATCAGGGGAAATTCTACAGCTCGAATTGCATTCGACACGATGGGACTAAATTGGATGAATAAACACGAGCTGAAAACCGGGCGACGTTAAGTTTCCCTAAGCATTTCATTCCATTGTTGTGTCGATTGACAGTGCTAAGTGAACATCTGTTTTCACACGTGTTACTCGTTAATGTATTCAACAATCGACAAAAATAATCTGTTGGTTGGAGAAACTGCATGCCTTATAATTATTTAACCGTTTGTGGCACGCCCCGTGTTGTCACAATGTTACTTATTGCCTTTTTGTCTGGCAAATACGAAGTTTAGCACACAGAAAGAAAAAAAGATAAATATCATTGTCCAATCAAGAACGGAATTGCGGAATTAAACAAATCAGTGAAAATAACACTTACCTAGTTATTTATTTTACTGCGGGTTAATGCGATAGCGAAATTGCACTTAAGTTCAAACTCTAGATCTTAACTTGCTTGGCTTGAAACTCTAATGTATTCCCGTCTAACACGCGTTAAATAATTGAACTGCTCAGTTTTCTTGAAAAGCAATTGAGAGTTTTCTCTCGTTCATTTGCCTTACGCTCCCTGATCGATGAGATTCGAGCAAAACGCTCTTGCAGTTCTCAAACCATAAGTTTTGGCCACTGCAGTTAACGTTTGCCCCGACAGATAAATTTTTAACACCTCATAGCATAAAACTCAAATCTATGGACAAGTTTTTCTCACCTGAAGCAAGGCTAATTAATATCACAGACAGCAAAATACGATTCATGTTTGTTTAAATCCTTCTTACTCTACGACGGTAAATACTTCCGCCTTGATAGCCGATTTCGATGTCCGCACTGCAACAGGAAACAGCTTAAACTGAATATTGTGTGCAACGTATCGCTTTTTTAAATTAAACTGGCGTTAACATTTGACTCTATCTTAAACACCTGGTACTGCATTGTGATTGAAACGGCGTCCTTTTACAAGTGACGCCAAACCTAATAAACAGGAAGGTTATACAGAGTCTGAATAACGGGTCAACGGACATGTTTGGATTTCGGATTTATAAATAATCGATAACACACACCCTGAGGGATTCCCGAGTTCTGTAAATATACTGAATTAATGATTTTATTGACTTGTTGAAAAGGGGTGGGTGTTATATTGTGATAACAGCTTTTTGGGCCGCTTAAGTTGTTATCCTTGTTTACAGCAATCCAGAGGGAAACACGCTTGCAGCGACGGAGTTTGTCAGACTCCTAAAGGTTTCGGCTCCAACAGAACGTAACCAATACGGGATAGTGGTAATTTGAACTCACTTGCGCCCCGAAACACGCTTTGCCACATCACGTGTATCGGGGCTAGGGGCGCAAGGAGACAAAGTGTCACAAAGTGTTTCGGGGCGCAAGTGAGTTCAAAGCCAGTACGGAACTTGATATAGTGAACAGGTCATTTTGCAATTTATGTGCGTTGGCTGTTGGGCTGGCGTTACATATCTTCTCTACACAGTGCTGACGAGTCCCAAGAAGGACGAAACAGCTGTCCACTGTTACGATCCTGCTTTATCGGTTCTTGTCATGTTGGTGTCTCGAAACGTTTTTCACATAGTATCAGCCTTGCAGTCCATTGTTTTTGTTATATAGCATTTCGCCTTCCTTATGTTCATTTTTTTTTCATGGCTCACGCTTGCGACAGTGAGAATATATCTAAATATAGCACAGTCTTGAAACTTCTCAAGCACTATACGGCCTTCTTCATCGTTGAAAAAAAAAAATTTGCGCAAGATCCACAAAATTTGCACGTGTTTTATTTCGCGATTTTCAGGTGCGCATATTTCGCGAAACTTAAATTCCGCAATTTTGAAAATTTGGTATATTGAATCACTTTAACTTTGCGTTTTTGAGTAACACACATTTTATTTCCTTAGCGATGTGACTTTAACATTTCCTTGAATTTAGTAAACTGACTTTATCAAAGGTGCAATAACGTCAAAATTAACAAAAACACAATGGCGGCACTATCCATGTCAAGAGTAACATAATGTGAGTCACTTAATTTTCGCGTCAGGTTATGTTCGCGACACTTCTTATTTTGGTCGCGTCGCTGATTTCGCGATTGTTTTTTTTTTTAATCGCGAAATTCGCAAAATAAACGTGTCGCGAAAATTTTGTGTAATAAGGTATCTGCAGTTTAAGGCGCAACGAAATAGTTATTTTTACCTACTTCAATATCGACTTTTATCGGCGTAAAGGCCAGTCACCGCATTTACCACAGAGAGTTGAAGTAAAAGCTAGCGATCACGGGACAACAAGCCTGGATGCCATTTGAGAGAGAGAGGGAATGAGTAAAAATATGGAGACCAAAAATAAACATTAAGATAAAAAGTACAGTTACTCGAGTTTCACGCTTGAAGCGATCATCATTCTGTACTTTTAGTGGCCGTTGAAACAAAATTTAAACTGAGTCATGGAGGGCATGTGGAGCGATCTTGTTTCCGCTAGACTAAGAGTACATGAATACTGCGTTGTCTTTTACTAAAGACATAGGGGTATTACATAACCGCGATACAGGATACGAAGTTTATCTTCGAGTGCTGATGGCATATCTTTTCACTCGTTCACGCTGTCATGTAATATTTTATTTATTATATGGATATAAATCCAAATCTAAGACATCTCAGTTTTTTTTTTTTAATAATTTTAAAAGCACCGAAAACTGTGATCACCTTCACTGGGGTCCGGACTGCAATCGAAAATAAATAGATTAAGAGGAAAACCATTTTACCGAAACACAAAGAAAGGCACGTTTACTTCTAAGGAAGTTATTTTC